AGAGAGAGAGAGAGAGAGAGAGAGAGAGAGAGAGAGAGAGAGTGCTGAGGTGGGGTGGAAGACGAGGTGCGCGCGGCTCCTCCTCGGAGGATCAATAGAGACAGGGAGACGAGACCTCTTTCCCACTCTCCGCGCTCTCTCGTTGCTCTCTTCTCTTTCCTCCCTCATCTCATGGTAGCAGCACCCTTCAGAGGGCACCCTAGCTTCTGGCTGCTCTTCCGCGCTTCCATCCTTCTTCGCGTTCTCCGCTTCTCGCTCCGCATTACACCATCGATTCTCTGAAACTGAAAATAGAAATCACGAGGTTAGCGATACACATGTGTGGGAGAAGAGGAAAAAGAATAGGAGGATGTTTAAATTAAATATATGTATATTATTATATCGCTCCTTCTCTCTGTACACACGTTCTCGATAATTTGGATGATATAATTATCTATTGGAGAAAAAATCAGAGTTTCTAGTTTTCTAATTTGAAGGTAAAAAGGTCTGTACATTAGACGCGTGTTTCCATAACATACGTAGTACGTCACATCTGAGACGACATCGCGAGGTCGATATTCATTTTCTCTGTCGGAAACTGGATCCATATAGAGCCGAGTGTCGAGGACGACGCGATCTTGCTGTGAGTTCAATATATCGGCAACGTTCGCCACATTCGAAAAATAAAAAGCAGCCGCTCCGGAGAGACTCCATAGAATTCGAGGAAAAATACGGAGGAGTGGGCTTAATGTTGCGTGGCCGGGATGCAAGGGCTGCCGACGGAGGCCGCGGGATGGCTTGGGTGGGCGGGCATAGGGGGTGAACGCCGTGATGCAGAGGGATGACGGGGGAAAGAGGGTGGAGAGAAACTGGGAGTCGCGGAGCACCGTGGGTAATGTTGCGTGATGAGACGCCTCGCGGATTCATCGAGCAGAGGAGAAGAGAGGAGGAAAGACGGAGAGGAAGCCGGTGAAACGGTGGAGAGAGAGAAAGAGAGAGGGAGACCACAGCCGAGAAGGAGAGGCGCGGAGGCTTGCTCTGCTCTAATTCTAAAGAGCACTCTCGTCGGACTCGCGCTCCCCTCCGCCACCGCCAACCCTCCGCCTTCTCCTTTTTGTCTTTCTATACTTTCCAGCTCTGCGAAAGGGGCGCTGCAGCGCGACGAAAATCTAGCAGGCCACCGGTAGTCGTGTCATGGGGATGAAAAACGTGCTTTCTACCTTTCCTCCCTTTCGCGCTCTTCCTCGAATCCCTGTTCCTCCGGTGACGGGCACCGCGTCTTTTCGTTCCCTCGTTTAAACGTCGACGTCGGGGGGAAAATGATTCCATCAGATTCCGACGCGTCTTTTGTTCGATCGATCCTTAATGGTAGTTGACGACGGCGTACACGCGCGTATTGTTCGCAACGCCGACAAAAATTGTGGATTTAAAATATAATCGCGGTTACAACCATAATGTCGATACGTTTCTCGAAGTCTTTGAAATATTTGCAATAGAAGTAAATCATATGTAGATTTCTGTGTGATAAATTCATTGAAATAATAATTTTCTTTCCTGCAACAAATGTCTCGTACTCCTAACGAATTTAGCATTTTCGTGATCACACAGCAAACATTAAGCTCATCACCGTAGAAGTGAACTTTGTAATTTTTATTAAATTTATGAGAAACATCTATTTACGAGTTTCTCATGAAACAACATAGACATAGCAAGACGAGTGATTAAAGACGTTTGCTTCGGTTGGCGGGCTCGTCGATGCTCGCGAAACAGAATAGACGGAGAACGGGCGTAGAGGGGTGGCTAGCCCGGTTGTGATTAATTTGAATCAGCAAATGCCTTCGAGGGTTTACATTGACTGAGCTGAAGGCACCGCCATACCGGTAATATGCTACGCTTCACGGGAGAAAGAGGCAGACGGTTGCAACGAGGCGAGCGAGGGATGAAGGGGGTGGAAGTGGGGTCGGGAATGTACGGATATGTTCACAAGGGAAGGAAACATCCCCCACGCAGACCGCAACGAAAAGCCAGCGGCAGCCGCGAAGCAACCCCCTGCTGCCTCTCCTCGGGGACGATGCATGGACTAGGGATGAGACAGAGAGGCGCGGGTGAAGGGACGAGGGTAGATGGAAGCCTCGAAGGTGGAGGCGAGAGGGTGGCAGAGGGGCGAGAGACCGTCTTAAATCACTTCCCGCTCCATCTCACTCTCTTTCGCCTCTGTGTACAGCTCCGCGAATAACAACCCCCGGCGATAGTGCTGAGGGAGTGCGCCGATTCCGGTTTACAAATTCGATTATGAGAGTCAGGATTGTCTTGCCCTTCCGTTCCAGTATTCTTTTAAAACAATAACCATATAGACAGCAGCGATTTTCAACGAATTTAAAATTTTCAGAGCTTGTAAGAAAAACAGCGTGTTTTATTATTTTCTTTAATGATTCGGAATTAGAAAGAGAGAGAGAGAGAGAGAGAGAGAGAGAGAGAGAGAAATAAAATTAGATATAAAAATTATTTTCTCTTTACGAATATACAACGAAAAATATCGATTGAAATGTTAACTCCGTCGTAACTTATCATGCGTCGGTGTAAATTTTCAATTTGACGAGACGTCGCGCACAATCTTTTTACGAGATGCCACGAAACCTCTTTTCCCAGTATCGCCTGGAAACTGACCGAAAGAGATTGACGAGCGAATACTTTTTACGACCGACCGCCCGGCATAACGAAAGATCCGTGATACTTATGATAATGACAAGTGTTCGAAGGATCAAATATTGTTTTGAAAACAGACGCAATGAAACTCGAAACGTTCTGTTTTATTATCCTGCGTGGACGCTCCTCAAAGAACAAGGGTGCTCTTTGTTGGATTTATTGCCCCCCCCCGGTGCGCTATCGGGTAACAACACGAAACACGATCTGCAATAAATAATAAAAAATTTAATTTTTACTTCGAAATTCCAAAAGGAAACGCGTATCAAATCAGAGTTGTGTTCACGTGGAAACTTTGCGCGCCCGTGTCGCTCCTAATTATTCAAACATATATGCACATTTGGATGTGCATGATAATTTGTTTTGCTTCCACCACCGCAGGAAAAATGATCGGAAACGCGTTAACGACGACTGCTTCTCGAGCAAAACTGGAACATGTGAGAAAGTTTGATATGAAACTCTTCTCTTGTTTTTCTCGAGTTTTAAGCGCCTTCTCAACAGGGCAGCACATATCAAGGGGAAATTGCTCGCGACGTCGAGTGAGCAATGAGATATCTCGCGAGATGTCTGCGCGTCTCCGTGTGCATTTATCAATATTCTCCGGCGCGAGTTCATCGATCGATAAAACCTTGAGAAATAATCGTGCGCAAAATAATCGTGCGTTTTTTAAACGACTTATTAAGAATTAGCGAAATATTCGAGCAAAGTAATAAGCACGGGTTCGTCCCTGATGAGGCGAGGGTGTCGACAAACCTAGTGCGAGTCGAAACCTACCTCTCCCTTGGCCTTCCAATTACTCGCGTTTAGTTGCGTTTTTCCGCTCGAATGCTCACTCTATGATACACTCGCGCACTCGACCCACGCTTGACTTTTCGTTACCCAAACCCACTTACGAACACGCGCACACCCACATGTACACCTGATCTGCACGTATGCGTGTGCGCGCGCCCGCGCACACACGCGTGAGCGACTCCGTGCTCTCGACAGTCTGTTTATATGACAAAAAAAGGAGTAACGATCGACCGGATACGTTGTGCCAGTCTAATCGTTGACCGAACGCACACGAGAACACGGCCAGCTTCGATTCATCGTGCTCTGGCAGTATTTTATAAAAATTATCGCGCTTGCGCGTGTGAGGGCGAGTGGATATTTGAATGATTATTAATCCCTTAAGAGAAGAGTGGTGTGCTCGGAAAAGTTTCGCGATATAAAATATTAAATTCATTTTGATTTATTTAAACTATTATATTTCTTTTAACTCATGGCAAATACAAATTATATATATTTTATATTCCATTTCTCAAAATTCTCTTCAAAGAAAGTAGCAATAAAAAGGAAAGAAATCCTGAAGATCTTAAAAAAAATGATAATAAAAAGAAAAAAATCGTGCTTGTATAGAAAAAAAGAGTCGCGCAGTCATTTTACTACTGAAGAGATTAATATTCCTCCACAACGTTACACTTGTATTATTAACACGCCCCACACGGCATTTCTGTTCCAGATGTATACTCCTGGAGAATGAACGGAGAGACCAGATCATCGCAAAGATCTTCCCGCGACTTGCCGCCGAAAGGAATGGCCAATTTTGCGCGACGCACAAAGTAAGATTAAAATAATCATCATATCGCATAGCGATGCCCATTTTGTTCGAGCTCGTCCGTCCATGCCAGATGCCAGCAGGCACGTCTGTACAAATTGATGTGACACGGTGGCATATGCCGCGGACGCGCCATGGAGCGGAGATTTTGCGTGGTCGTTACGATAAATCTTTACCTGGTCATTAACGGATATACACTCGTGTGTCCTCGTGGTCGTGTGTCTCGCTCGATAAAAGTAACGTTCGGGCGATAAATACGCGATGCCTTTTACTCGGCCACGTAATAATATAATGACGAAATATATTGTCCTGACCTGAAACACGGAAGTCACGCCATGGTTCTTTGTCCACCTTATTGAACGCGCATAATTTGCGCGCCACGGAATGAGCGAGAATGTCCGCGGCCTGTGTCGTTGGTCGGCCGCGAGACGTTCGAGCGATCCGCACGCCGAACGTCGATTAATCCGGCGATCGCGCAAATTATTTGCTCGCACGAACATACTTTATTCGCCTGTAATTGGGACTAATGTCGATTAGAAATTCTTCACGCGAAGACGCCCAGATGGAAATAAATCCAGAATGGCCAGTGATTATGTTTGATATATACGTTCGTGTAAAAAGATAAGCCATCGAGCTTATCACCCTTGTTTATCCGATCTCCCCGGGGCTAGTTATAAATGCATGACGACTAAGGTCGCATGAGCACCCTTTAGTCGTTGCTTAACCTGTGCTTTGCTTTAAATTAATACCTACGCCATTTGTCTTCCGTGTACGAGATACATTTCGGTTTAGTACTATGTCAATGCTCCACATCGTGATGATTAGTTACAATATAACTAATTTCTCGCTGACGGAATTATTGCCTTTTGAATATGACTGTCGACCACCGCTGCTTTTGTGTATTCCCGCAATAATATCGCACAACGCGAATGTACACGCAGAAAAATGCATACTATATTCAAGTTACTTGTTTCAAGTATTTTGTAGGTTTACATATTCGCGAAT